CTTTAAATATTATAAACTATTAAGATTAAGAAACTCCTTTCAAGCCATTCATAAGAACATTAAAGATAAAAAAATCCTAAAGACTATGAGTTATAGACATCCATAACATAATATTTATAATAAACATGAGGTATTTTTATACAAGTAGAAATAAAAAACAAATAAAATAAATTTCAAAAACACAAATCAGAATCATATGAAAAAAAATAATCAAAATAAAAATACAATCAATAACAAAGAAGAAGAAAAAAAGAACATATAATATATTTAAAAAGTAAGATCAACACCAATTATTTTTATAAAAATGAAAATAAAAATCGAAGAGGGTAGCAAATCTTAAGAAGAGAAGGATACGGAGATGGGAACTAAAACAAAATAAGTTATTTATTTTTTTAATTTTATTTTATTTTTTAAATATTAACATATTTCCGAGCATAGGTAATAAATATAGTAAATAATGTATAAGTTTAAATGATCTTTGGAGTTAGAATTAAATATATTGAAATTTTAAACAATTTTTTTGCAAATTTAAGTCAATTTTCTTACATAGAGGAATTAAAATTAATATTTTGAAATAATTTTTATAACTAATTCATATTTCACTAGAAAAAAATTTAAAATTTATTTTTTATAAAATGTGTAATTTTATGAACATCATTTTTTAAAAATAAATTTTAAATATAATTTGCTTATAATTACTGCCTTTGGACCAAAACTTAGAGCATTAGTCACTAATTTACGGTTCTGAAAAATGTTAGTTGAAATTTTAATTTTTTTAAAAAAATTATATATTTAAATTATACTCTCATTAAATACCCTATATAAATTTTTTGATAATAATAATTAAAATTTTAATGCATTATTTTTTTTAAAATGAGTAATAAATGATATGGAGATATAGTTAAACATAATTATAAAAATTATATAATATCTTATATTTTGAATCAAGTAAAAATTTTAAATAATATCCGATATTATGATTTGAAGGGACCATGATATGTTTTGAGGGTGGAAAAAATTTGAGAGAGCCAAAACTTAGGGAATGTTTGAAATTATTTTTATTTTATTATTTTGAGAACTAATATTTTATAAAACATGTTTTGAGAATAAAAAAATAAAAAAAGGTGTTTTTTTTATTCTTTTTTATTCTCTAAACAATAATTTCAAAATACTTGAGAGTTGTTTTTATTTTTTTATTCTCTCAAATAATATTTTATTTTTTATTTTTAAAATATTTTTTGAAAACATGTGATCAAACAAATTTTTTATTTTTTTATTTTAAAAAATAAAAAATTATTTTTAGAATAAATTACATAGCAGGCCCTTCCTACCGTCCCATTTTTTGGGGAGGTCTACATGGTTGGTAGATTTTGCCTGCTTCTCGATTTACACATACCTGTCCATCATTGGTTTTTTTTTTAATGCGGAGGACCCCACTAGTAACAACTCCCTTCCCCTTTTTTTTTATAAAAAAAAAGCATAATAATATTAACAAAAATAAAAAAAAAGTCAATAAAGAAAGGGTTAATAGTTGATTAACAAAACAACAAGAAAAGCTAAAAGTCTAAAGATGAAAAATGGGCAGATCTAGTTCATAGTCAAGGTCTTAAACTTAATTTTTTAAAAATTAAGGTAAAAGGACAAATATATTCACAGAATAGTCGGTCAAGGGCAACTAATATCCTAAAATAAAAAAAAAGTAAAAATATCTATAACATTACATGAGTGGGTGCAAAAGTGACTAGATCATTAACTTTAACAGTTAAATGCTGACTATGCATGTCACATGTTAGCTTTTGCTAATGTAGACTAATAAAGGGGCAAAAATACTCACGAAGTCGTCAGTCAAGAATAAAAATACTCATAATTTACCAAAGTTGGTGCAAGTAACCGATCCATTAAATCCCTTAAATATTGACCATTTAGCTAACATTTAAGTAGAAGTTAATTATTTTTTATAGATGTAGATCAAAAATATTCCCAGATGAATTTTTACGGATGTTGATTGATCATCATATGAATACCTATAATTAGTGACTAATTTGTCAAAATTCATGCCATATAATTTTTTTTTTCCATCGCCACATGTATTGCCCCTTCCTTTCTCCCTTTCCACTCATTTTTGTCTACAAAACCTAATATTCAACATAATGAGATAGATTGTACACATTCAAAGATCGAGACTGAGCACACTTCCTACACCACGCTGCCTTAAGAATATTGTCACAACCTTAAGCAATTTCATTCATAATAAATTCAAAATTTGTAAATGGGTTTCGCCACTACTATAAAAAAACAAGTAATTTAATTTGATATTCGATCAAAACAACATTTTTTAACATGATATTCATATAATGACCAATTAACCTCCAAAGAATTACATTTGGTAATATTTTTTTGTCCATATAAGCAAAAAAATAGTCAAATTCTGCTTAGGTATCAATTAAACAATTAACATTTAAAGAATTTGATGGATTGATCACTTTTGCACTAACTCTAATAACGTTATGAGTATTTTGCTTTTGGTTGATGATTTCATAAGTATTTTTTCCTCTTTATTAGTCCACATTAACAAAGGTTGACATGTGACATGCATAGTTAGTATTTAACAGTTTGGTCATTTTTACACCTACTTATATAAAGCTATGGGTACTTTTATCATTTTCTTCACTTTAGAATATTAGGTGCCCTTGACCAATAATTTTATAGATATTTTTGTCCCTTTATCCTAAAAATTAATTGATTTATGAAGCTAAACCTTTTTTAACGTGGAGGACCCACTAGTGACAACTCCCTTCCCTTTTTTTTAAAAAAAAAAGCCACAATAATATTAACAAAAGTAAAAACTAAAAAAAAAAGTCAATAAAAAAAGGGTTAATAGTTGATTAACAAAACAACAAGAAAAGCTAAAAGTCTAAAGATGAAAAATAAGCACGCCTAATCCATACTCAAGGCCTTAAACTCAATTTTTAAAAAATTAAGGTTAAAGGACAAATATATTCATAAAATAGCCAGTCAGGAGCACCCAATATCCTATAATGAGAAAAAAGAATAAAAATATTCATAACATTATGTGAGTGGGTGCAAAAGTCACTAGATCTTTAACTTTGACAGTTAAATGCTGACTTTGCATGCCATGTGTCAGCTTTTGCTAACGTGGACTAATAAAGAGGCAAAAATACTCACAAAATCATTAGCTAAGAGTAAAAATATTTATAACTTAATCAAAGTTGGTGTAAGTAACTGATCCATTAAATCCATTAAATATTGACCATTTAGCTAACATCTAAGTAGAAGTTGATTATTTTTGGTAGATGTAGATCAAAAATATTCCTAGATGAATTTTTATGGATGTTGATTGATCATCATATGAGTACCCATAATTTGTGACTAATTTGTCAAAATCCATGCCATATGGTTTTTTTCCATCGTCATGTATCTCACCCCTTCCTTCCTTCTTTTCCACTCATTTTTGTCTGCAAAACCTAATATTCAACATAGTAAGATAGGTTGTACACATTCAAAAATAGAGACTGAGCACACTTCTTACGCCGCGCTACCTTAAGAATATTGTTACAATCTTAAACAATTTCATTCATGATAGATTCAAAATTTATAAATGGTTTTCACCATTGCTATAAAGAAAGAAGTAATTTAATTTGATATTCAATCAAAACGACATTTTTTAACATGATATTCATATAATGACTAATCAATCTCCAAAAAATTTTATCTGGAAATATTTTTTGTCCATGTCAAAAAAATAGTCAAATTCTGCTTAGGTATCAGCTAAACAATTAACATTTAAAGAATTTGATGGATTGATCATTTTTGCACTAACTCTGGTAACGTTATGGGTATTTTGCTCTTGGTCAACAATTTCATAAGTATTTTTGCCCTTTTATTAGTCCACATTAACAAAGGTTGACATATGGCATGCATATTTAGCATTTAACGGTCTGGTTACTTTTGCATTCACTCATGTAACGCTATGAGTATTTTTATCATTTTCTTTATTTTAGAATATTGGATGCCCCTGACTGACCATTTTATAAATATTTTTGCTCCTTTATCCTGAAAATTAATTAATTTATGAAGCCTAACCTTTTTTTAAAGGACTTAGGGCCAAGCCCATAAGGTTGTTATTATTACTATTACTATTACTATTATTATTATTATTATTATTATTATTATTATTATTTATTTGATTTTTAAAAAATTAAAAATTTCAATTATAATATTTTATATTTTTTAAAATACAAATTATAACATTAGAAAATAAAAAATAAATAATAAAAAATATAATTTTAAATTATAAACATATATTTTAAAGTTTAAATTTAATTTAAAAAATAAAAATATTTTATCTTTTTAGAGTTAAAATGAAAAAAAGATTTAAAATGGCCGTTCGAGCTCGAACCCTAACTTATTTTTTTAGGACTTATCAAAGCTAGGCTTTAAAGCTTATTTTTTTAAAAATATTATTTTTTCAAGCCACAATCCTTATTAAAATAAATTTAAATGAATGATTTGTTAGGTTTAACCTTTATTCTTTGCTTTAGAAATAGGTTAAAAATGCATAATGGGGTCACCTAGTTTTATGCTCTGGCCTAGGGATTTTGAATATCCTCCCCAATAAGAGTCTCCTTTAATTCCATATGAATCATTTCATTTGACCTCTTTTTCTATTCATGTGCTGTAGATAATACCATTACTTTAATGTAAATATATATAGATAACTTCACGGGTTTGAATAACTTCAAATCCTCTCCTCACAAATTTCGTATCCAATCAACTAAAATTGAAGCTCTTGTGGTGAATTGTGAACGGTGTTTTCCTAACTTTGCGAATCCATAATGAGAGAAAAACTTGCAATGTAAGGTTCCTACTTTATTATGTATGCCGTACAGTGACTGACTTTCAATCGCGCAGACTATTATGCCCTTGGAGATTTTGTAAATAACTATCTCAGCGAATCAGCCCCCTACATCAATTTATATACTGGTGATCCATCAGTGTTCTGCCGTCTGGGTTCTGAAGAACTCCACTAGTGATGACTGATTCAAAGCTTTCAGTTGGGGAATGAGAATAAGAGGAGCATTTTATTTTGTTTTGGCCACATGAAATTACCTTCATGGCTTTATTTTGTCTCCAATTTTTTGGTGCGATCTGAAATTAGAGAGAGCCCAAACCTTTCGTCTCTTCTGTCTCTCTCCAGTGTTCCTCCAACGTCGTCTTCGTGGCCGGCAATCGTGGGTACACCGGAAATCTTCCCCTTCTTCTTCGGTCCGTACTGAGGGAGAGAGCTCGATTTCTTTCTTTCTTCCTCCTCCTTCGTCCGTTCCGTTAGCCACCTGGTGACTGTAGTGTGGCTTTCGTCGCTGCTAGAGGCAAAACCCGTGATTCTTCCTTGCGTGACCCGCGTCTTCTTCCCTTTTGTTCTGCATAGGTGCTGTTATGTGTTGGGGGGCTTCGAATCCTTCAATCCATCAACTCCTTTGCTCCTTGGTGAGTGCAAGCTTCATCATCTCTCCCTTTCATCCTTTGTGTGAGTTTTGTGACTTGGATAATTGCTTGGTTGTTGCTTGAGGAAAATAGATGTGGATTTGAATTTTTCTTGAGCTTAAATTGTTTCTTGATGGGGAGTTGGGTTTTGGTTAGCATGATAAATTTAAATATTGATGTTTGGAGATTGTTGGGTAAGAGATTTGAAGTTTGAGAAACTTTGATTGAATGGTTTGGTAATTAATGCATATAAGGTGCTTGTTAAAATGTGTAGAAGAGAAATTTAATTGGAGTGGGGCAATCAAGTATATTGATTGTATTAAAGACTAAAATTGGAATGTAGTTTGTTCAATCTCTATGTTGAGACTAAGAAGAATATAGGTATTACTTGAATATACATACACATACATACATACATATATATGTACATATATAGTGTGGTGGAAAGCTTTGGTTACTAAAAAGAATCTTTTATGCTTGATGGGTTATGATTTGGTATATATACATTATTATTGATATTGATTACATTATTATAGGAGGTAATTATTTTCTATAATGGAAATTGGAAATAAAGTTAGAGAATTTTGGAGAAGACGTTTGGGTGATAATTCAAGGATGAAGTTTGTTTGTTCTTATGATAACTTTTGAGACATGTATAAAGTGATTGATGAAAGGCTTGAGAAATAAAGTTAATGAAATTGGATAAAGCGATAAACATGATAATAACGTTATATAAATCATAAAGAAGTTAATTATTTGTTACTTTGAGACTTAGAAAAACTGTGGATATTGTTTAGATATAGTTTGGAGATTTGTGGATTAAACCCACCATGGCATTTTACACGTGGAAGGTTTAAGTTTAAATTCACCTCTGTTTTGCGCTGATCCTTGCTTTTTCTTCCTTGGTGGATAACTGTAATAATTGCTATGGTAAAGCTGAATTTATGGTAAATTTGTTTTATGATTTCGTTGTAGTTAAGAGTTGCTTTTAAAAAGACTGTAGGCAAGATATCCATTTGTTTGATTTGTATTATTTAAAGATTGAGGGAAGAGTTCTCTTATTTTGTTCCAACTAAAGTTTATTGACTTTCCTAAGCAATTTTATTTTTAAGGAAAAAAAAATAATAGTCCAACTCTTGAAAGAGTTTATAGTGAAATTTGTACAAACATTCATGAATGAATATTATAATGTCAATTATAATTTCAATTGACATTATATTAGTGAAGCAGATCTTTTACCAAGTGTACTGAGAAAATTATAAATTGATTGGGTTTATGAAGCAAGGTTTACCTTGTACTTCATACTAGTCACGCTTGTTTTGGTGGGGCAGCATGACAGTAGAAGTGCTTGGTCCACATTCTTTTGTTTTTACCTGCATATGTTTATTGAGGACAATTGTATAATTCAGGAATTTTAAAGTTTCACACTTCAAATTTTCTCTCCTTGGCTTCATGAGATAGGTAAGACCACTTTGACGCATAAATTTCTTTCCACTATCATATTTTCATCCCTCTACCCTTCCTAGAGTTTTTGATATATGTTTGGTTAATCAAGTTTTGGGAATGATAGGGGGGTGGTCGAGATGTTTGTGGCAATCTGATTTCTCTGAAGTATAGCAATTTTATATTGTGCCTTGCATTTTTTTCTTCAATCAAGGGTTTCTCCATCGTTTTACGCCTTATTTCAGCAGTAAATAGCCTTGTGGACTTCTTGTCACGAGTCTTGTATCAGGAAGCCTCATACAAGTGGAGTGGGATTTATAAGTAGAAAAGGCTCTCCCACTCAATAATAGACTAGTCTTTTGGGATAGGTTCTCCCTTTGCACTTATGTGACATGGATTTGTAGCTGCTCTCCCTCCCTCCATACCTCCCTTTATTAATCTTTTTCTGAAAATCTTCCTCTACAATTTCTTATGTATTTTATGCAGGACTAAACTGAAGTTGTGTACAGCAGATTTTTTCCTGGGTAAAAATATAAAGCAGATTTAAATGAGTACTTCAGATGAAGAACGCTCGGTAATAGGAAGCAAGGCGGAAATTGGGTTTCTAGATTTTGCAGAAGAGAGATCTGTCTGTAGTTATGCTCCTAATGAGGAGGACCCCATTGTCATATCTGTCCCATTTCCGTTTGTGAATGACAAACCACAATCAGTATATGTAGGCCATACTGCTGTAGATGTAATAACAATCAAGAACACCACCAATGAACCAGTGGAACTGTGGAGTGTTCATATTTTTGCTTCAAATCCTGAGGACTGTTTCACACTTTCTCTGATGGAACCTCCATCTGCAAATTTAAATGCAGATAGCATTCAAGGTTTTCTAGAGTCTTTCTCTTTGGAGGACAGGATGCTTCAACCTGGTGAGATTTTGAAAGTGTGGTTGTCTTGCAAAACAAAGGAAATGGGATTGCACACGACAATTGTGTATATTGATGCAGGGGATGCAAGAATAGAAAGGACGGTTTTTCTCTTAGCTGAAGACAAAATCTCCCAATCTTTGGCTTCCAAAAAGCCTTATTCAAAAGGAAGAAAGAAAGAAAAATTTGTTGTAAGTGCTTATGTTGCTGGCTCACGTCCTGTGAGGAAGGGAAATCGTGTATACAAGAATAGGCTTCAGACATATGACATTCCCAAGGAAATAAGAGACATGCTGGAGAGCAATCAGATCCCTGATGCCATTGAAAGAGGTCTTACAAGGAAGAATTATGTATCTTATTTCAAAACATTAATTATGATGGAAGAACTACAATTGGAGGTAATCTTGTTTGCTAATGAAAAATCTAAAAGAAGTGTGTGACAAAAAAACAAAGAAAAAAAAAAAAAGCAGATCTTTGTTTCTATTATTTGCTTGACTAGTGACTTATGCTTTTAGGAAGACATGAGGACCTATGATATGGAATGTGTAACTTTGAGAAGAAAGGCGCATCAATTCTTGTCACTGGAGGTTCCAGGGCTGGCTGAGAGGAGGCCATCACTGGTTCATGGGGATTATATTTTTGCCAAGCTGGCCTCTGAACATGATAATGATAACGTACCTGTTTACCAGGTTTGTTCTTCTCATTGACAGATATGATATGTCCTGATTACTTCACTTATATGAAATCTTAAGCTAGAAATTGCTGTTTTATGATAGTTACTAGGATCAGGTTTTATGAACTATTCATCATATGCTAATATTACAAGCTTCTCCTAGATAGTTACAAAATTTCTAATTTGCTGTTGAAAATGATATCAATGGTATCCATATATATATATATATACATATGTAATAGAGGGTCCCATGTCTTTGACGCATCAGTGTAAAATGATGTGCCATTATTATTTGTTATGTTCAGGATGTTGTTTAATTGGAGTGGATTTCTGCAGGGTTATGTTCACCGTGTTGAGGCTGATGAAGTATGTTTGAAGTTTGATCCTCAATTTCATTTTTTCCACAAAGATGAAGATCTATACAACGTTCACTTCGCCTATAATAGGCTCAATATGAGACGGTTATATCAGGCAGTTGAGGCTGCAGAAAACCTAGGAAATGAATTCTTATTTCCACATGAGACGCCTAGAAGGAGGCGCATTGAAACCTCTCATTTGGTGCCTATTTCTGGTAATGTTAATGAGGAGCAGATGCTTGCAATCAAGAAGATTCTTGGATGCAAAGGTGCACCTCCTTATCTGATTCATGGTCCTCCTGGTACAGGAAAGACTAGTACCATAGTAGAAGCAGTCCTCCAACTCTACAAAAATTGTAGGAAAGCTCATATTCTCATCTGTGCACCCTCAAATAGTGCTGCAGACTACCTACTTGAGAAACTCCTTGGTCAAAAGGCTGTCGAATTTCGAGAGGAGGAAATATTTAGGCTTAATGCATCTACGAGGCCTTATGAGGAGATGAAACCTGAGCTTTTGCGCTTCTGCTACTTTGATGAGTGTGTGTTCAAATGTCCTCCAGCCAGAGCTATCATGCATTATAAGATCGTAGTATCAACTTATATGAGTGCTTGTCTTCTTTATGCTGAAGGTGTCATCCGAGGCCACTTTTCACACATTTTCTTGGACGAGGCTGGCCAGGCTTCAGAACCAGAAACCATGATCCCAATATCTCATCTCTGCAAAAGGGAGACTGTTGTCGTTGTAGCTGGAGACCCGATGCAGTTGGGTCCGGTAATATATTCCAAGGAAGCAGACAGCAACGGATTGGGGAAATCATACTTGGAAAGATTGTTTGAAAGTGAATTATATTCATATGGAGATAAGAACTATTTAACCAGATTGATTAGAAACTATAGGTGTCACCCGCATATATTACATCTCCCTTCCAAGCTGTTTTACGAAGGAGAATTGATTGCATGTAAGGATGATGCTAATTCTTTGATGCTGAGTGAAAACTTCCTCCCTAATAAAGAGTTCCCTGTTCTCTTCTTCGGCATCCAAGGATGTGATGAAAGAGAAGGGAATAATCCATCATGGTTCAACAGAATTGAAGTGAGTAAGGTCACAGAATTAGTCAAGAGGCTTATGACCGGTGGAAATATGAAGGAGGAAGACATTGGGATTATAACACCGTATAGGCAACAAGTACTCAAAATAAAGCAGACACTTGAAAGTATAGATTTGCCAGAGATTAAGGTTGGAAGTGTTGAGCAGTTTCAGGGACAGGAGAGACGAGTTATTATAATATCGACCGTTCGCTCAACAATCAAACATAATGACTTTGACAGGTTATACTGTTTAGGATTCTTGAGCAATCATCGGAGATTTAATGTTGCAATAACACGTGCCATATCGCTTCTGGTTATTATTGGGAACCCTCACATAATCTCTCGGGTATTTCCTTTTTACTAACAATTCTTGATTAGTGAAATAATTTAATTATTTAATGATCAATTTTATGCTGTGCTGATTGGAAATAGGAATCCGCTGATAGTCTTTAGCATTGCTTTTTCACTAACAAGTCATGATAAATTGAATAAGTTAACTTTTTTTATGATCAATTTTATGGCATGAGTACAAAACGTGATCGTATATCAGTGATTGTTGCGATGTTGCATTATATCCAAATCAAGTACCGTATTCTATTGGTGTCTTCTCATATCTGTTTGATACACACACTATTAATTGCTGGACTCCCCTTCCCCCCTCAAAACGATTTTAAAAAAGGGAAAATATTAAAATATTGCTTGTGTTGCTTAAGCGGAAAACATATATTCTGTTGCCTAAAATCATTTCTATTCTTGGCCAAGCATATGATTTTGATGAAATTATATTTTACTTGTCATATGTCAGGATTACTATTGGCACAGACTCTTGTGGCATTGTGTGGAGAATTCATCTTATCTGGGGTGTTCTCTTCCTGAAAGACTGGAGGTTCAGGAGGACTCTGGCTTCAAAAATTTTCAAGAAAACTCATTGCCCTCTGAAGATGTGGCATGGGATCAGGATTCACCTCAATCTGAGTTGCCCAAACCAGCTGGTGCAGATGAAGATGATTGGTCTGATGGTTGGAAGTAGTCTATCTATCTAGCGCTTAGGAGCGGGAGTTGATATATTCGCTCAGGTCTTTTCCCCCCTTTATGGCCAAATATTTGTTTACGTTTACTAGGAGGTTGTTTGGGTCAATGTTCGCAAAATTACATTTTGCATATGCTACAGTTTGCAAAGTGATGTTGGGTTAAAAGTTGATCTATGTTTAGATGCTCTTTTGTAAAAAATTAATTTGACAAACTGAAAGATATAATTAAATAGCAGGTTTAAATAAATAAATAAATATATATATATATAATAAAGAAAAAAGAAGATGGGCTGGTTAAAAAAAAAAAAAGGGAAAGTATGATGATTGGTCCTTACACTTTCATTTAAACAGGCCAGCATTATATTTAATGGTGTTAATTGCATCTCAGCCAATTCAACACCGTTGGGGATTAGAGGGACTAACACTTAAGAGACTGGAAATAAAATACAATGAAACTGTAGGAACTAACCATTGTTGTATGTCTCCCTCTCACTCTCATATACGTGCGCATGTATAATTATGTAATTTGATAAATTTAAGAAAAAATAATAAAATTATAATTATAAAAATAAAATAATTAATGTAGTAATGTAGAAAATATTTTTAAATACTAAAAAACTTAATTAGATCTATTTAAAGAATATTTGTGTGTGTGTGTAAACTAAAAATAATAAAAATGTTAAATTTATAAATCACAAAAATATCAAATTTCAAAAGGAAAAATAGGTTATTTAATAAATTTAAAGTGTATTAAATGCTGCTAATGGATAAATTTGAATGTAACTAATGTAAAGATTTAAAATCTAGCTCTTGACCTAACTATAATTGAGGAAAAAAAGTTCATTCACCAATTACTCTTATCCAAACATATTTGTTTACTCTTAACTAGCTTTTAAGCTTACAAATTATAATTTAAACCAACTAAATGGAATCCAAACAAGCACTATCATACATGCTTTCTGGCTTTTGTGAAGTTGTTGAACGATTTGAATATTAGCTGCATCAGAGTGTCTCAAGAGAAAGCGTCTTCGTCTTGCAATATTCCTTTCTAGTTTTGTGTTTTAGCATGCTTGTTATTCTCCATTGTCTGGGCAAAAAAAAAAAAAAAACAGAGAGAATTACTTTAAGGCCCTACATAACACAACTAAGAAAAGGAAAATGACAACTAATAATAATAAATTTTCAAAGGTAAAACTTAAACTAAAGATTGAGAATCTTGTTTAATGTTTACTTTTGCAATGAATAAGAAGGGCATCAGAAATGCTACAAACTTAAGTGAGATACAATAACACCTACAAAAAAAAAAAGTTTTATCCCACTAGGTGAGTTCAACTACATAAATGTCATTATACTCTATCAACTACCAAGTTATTAGAAATATTATTAACTAAGATGTTTTGTTTAATAACTTTTAAAAGTATTCTCTTTGATTTTTTTTTTCCCTATCCTTCTTTATAGGATTCAAGATTATCCGTTCTACTTTTCTCATCAGTGCCTCCCATTACTTTCTCTTTACATGTCCAAATTATCTTAAACAATTTTCTACCATTTTCCCTTGATAGATGTCACGCCCACTTTTTGTTGTATTTGTTTATTTAACATTTTATCTTTTCATGTATGTCCACACATCTATCTTAACATTCTCATATATGCTACTCTAACTTTATGTGTTCATTGCTCCTTTAAAGCTTAATGTTCACTGTTATATAACATAACTGGTTTTATAGCAATGTGATAAAATTTTCCTTTAAGTTTATTAGGTACCTTTTGATTACAAATAATTTCTTTAACCTTTTTTAATTAAATCACCTTGCTTGTATCCTATATGCAACATCTCCATCAATTTTCCTATCATGTTGAATAACATCTCCTAAATATCTAAACTTTTGATTTCAGATATAATCTGATCTTCCAATCTCACTTTCAAATTACCATTGACTAACCTCTTATCAAAACTACAATACAAATATTCTGTCTTACTCTTACTTACACAAAAACCCTACAACTCCAAGATCCTTCTCTATAACTTAAGTTTGTGATTAATTTCTTCTCTTATTTTTGCAATAAAAACTTTATCATCTACAAAAAAAACATGTATTTAAAGGTTTCCTTTTGAATATGCTCAATCAAAATAGAACCAGGTCAAACAAATAAGAATTCAAGGATGACCCTTGATGTAATTTAACCCTTATAGGAAAGTCTTTTGTTTTAGCGCTAGACATTCTTATGTTAGTTGTTACCCCCTCATACATATTTGTATAGCTCTAATATAGGGGAACCAAACTCATTTCTTTTTCAAGATTTTCTAAAGTACTTTCTCATTATACGGTCATAATTTTTTTTAATCAATGAAAATTATATATAAATCATTACCTTTACTTCAATATTTTTTCATTAATATCCTTAGTAGATCAATCGCTTTTGCAGTCGTCCTACCTGGCAGGAAGTCAGATTGATTCTCAAAAATACTAATCTCTAATCTCAACATATGCTCAATCATTCTTTCCCATAATTTCATTAGATAACTCATACGTTTAATCCCTCAATAATTTGCAAATTCTAAATATCCCTTTATTTTTGTAAATAAAAACTAAGGTGTTTCTCCTTCATTCATTAAGCATTTTCTTGATCCATAAGATCCCGTTAAATAGCTTAATTAGCTAGCCACTGCACCCTCTCTTCACCAAATATTTTCACCCTTCAATATGAATACAATCAAATTTATTAGCTCCATCATTTATCATTTTCTTAAGTTTTTTTTTACTTATTTTTCATGTGATATTTCACTTTGTTCTTTAAAAAGGTACAATTTGACCTTTTTCATTAATAAAAAAATAATTTAACCTTTAGTTTGAGTAAAAAATAATTGAAAAGGATATAAAAAATTACTAAAAAGAACAAATAAAATTTTCTTATGTATTTTTGAATCCTTGGCAGTTAATTTTATTTCTTGTACTGTAAGTTTTGAAATCTTTTTTTAATATATTTATTCCCCCCGCCCCCAAAAAAAAAAAAAAAAAACGATGACGATGATGACAATAACCAAAAATGTCCAAAGAGATCATTTATCCTCTCGACCCTTGGATCCTTCTTGCCTGGTGTTAAAGCAGGAGGAGATCCCTTGGTGTGCTTTCAGAAACTTCTAGAGAAGTCCTGTGGATATCTCGTGAAAGTACTAAGTCACCCTCAAAATCATTTTAACTACCCATCGTATCCTTTCATGGATCAAGCAGCGATCGGAATTAATCTTATCGTTTCACCTCGCGTTAATGCTTCTGCAACTTTCAATCTTCTTGCTCTCAAGCATTCACTGAAAAAATACAATGTCGCTCATCCTAAGTTTCTTCAGTGGCCGACGACGAAGCAACGTCTTTCCATCTTTAATTTCTTACTCGTGAAGCAATCAAAAATCTTTGAAATCAGTTCAAAGATTTTTCAGTTTTCAGCTTCGGAAACTTCTGGATTAATCGTGAACCCTAGGGTGAATTGGAAGGAGACTCCAGAAGCACACGTCTTCAAGGCTGATCTTCCTGGGTTGAAGAAGGAGGACATCAAGGTCGAGATTGAATAAGTGGACAAAGAAGACAAGACAAGACGAGAAATGGCATCGCATTGAGCCAAGCAATGGCTTGTAAATGTTTCAAGTCCTTTCATTTTATTTGAATTTTAGTTTAAGTTCTTGTACTTTTTTAGTGTTTCGACTCCACATAGTTTTTTTTTTTTTTTTTAATCTGTAACATCTACGCATTTAGATGAACATTAATATAATACAAATAGTATTAATAATGTTGATATATTAACATAATTAATTTTATATTTTCGTATCAAACTAATGCAGATATGAATTTTTTAATAAACAAAAAAAAAAAAGCCTACTTTAGATGAAATAAAAAAAGGCTTATCTCGAGTCTCAAATAATCAACAGAAGGTTTTTTTTTATTAAAAAAAAATACTCTTGCTTATTTCATTGGATGTAGGCTTTTTTTTATAATTTTTTTCTTATTAAAAAATTTATATAAACATCAGTTTGACACGTAATTTCAAAATTAATGATGTTAATTGATATGTTAGTATTTAATATTGTTTTTATCACGTCAATATTTTTTTAAAAATATAGAAATCAATATTACAGATGACAAAAAGTATAAGGACTTGAAATATTAAAAAAAAAAGGCAAGACTTATATCAAAATTTAAATAAAGTATAGAGATTAAGAGTAATGTTTTTTTTAAATTATTATCTTTTTTATTTTGCTTGTGTTTTGCTCTTGTTGATTCAACTCTTCTTTGATGAACTTCCTGAATTCTAGAACATGTTTTAGTGGTATTCGGAGGATGTTTCAAATTCTCTCATTTAGTGTGTATTCCACATGATATTACAAAATTGTCTATTCAATTATCAAATGGCTACTGGAAATATAGGCACAAGATACAAAAGAAAAATCAAATTATAGTTCTATCTTTTATTATACTCTATACTTAATCTAATGGTTTATTTGACTGCAGCAAAATGGTTGACAAGTATAACTTCATATAATTGTTCTTTAATTCACCGTCTTATTTATTTCTGGGTAAACTTGAATTTTCAAATTTTAAAATTGTTCTTTGTTTATGGGGTTAAAGTACATATATGTTTCTAAAGTTTTTCTAGAGACGCAATCAGTATTCTAAAATATTTAAAAGTATAATTTTACCCTAACATTTTTTAAAATGATACATTTTCGTCCAAAGTTGACAGTTTAACCATTTGACCATTTATTTGGACTTTTTAACCGTTAAATGCCTTGTTAGCAAGCCATACAAAGTCCATGTTTGAAAATGAATTTTTTTTAAATAAATAAACAAAATCCTTCCTTCCTTCCTTCATTGTCTTCCCTGACTATAATGTTCTTGTCCAACAAAATCCAACCAAAATCCAAAATGCAAACAAAAAATGAACCAACAAAATCATAAATGAACAAACCAGAATGCAAACAAAAATGAACAAAAATTCACCCATTGAAAACAAACAAACCAAAATGTAGAAAAGAAACGAACGAACAAAATCAAACCAGAAATCAAAATCTTCAGATCATCATCACTGTGGTGAAGGCTAAGGGGGGCAAGATATAGAAATTAGATCTAAAGCATACACGATTTTAAGTTTAAGATATGAAGCATATAGATCTGAAAATCAATCCATGAAAGTAAGAAAAAAATCACAG